TGATGTCTCCAATCTCCTACTAGTTGCTTGATGAGTTTTTTTCGAAACAACCTTGCACGGATATCTTTCCCTGGAAAAGCCTGTTTGAACAATAGATAGGCGTTGTTGATGGTTACATCTAATAACCAGAAGAATAATTTCCTCCACCACTTTGCAGTTTTACGCCCGAAAGAGTATGAAGTTGCGTAATGATCTGCTACGTTAACTCCTCCCAGGAATGCATTGTATTCGCACACTGCAACCGGCTTTTGAAATTCAGTATCTTTCCAAATTCCATTACACTTTTGTCTCCGAACTATGGTCTTCATTTTACTGTTATACAAAGTAGTTAGTGTACAAACTAATCGTTTGTCTTTCCAAGCAATTACAGACATTTTTGATGTTTTCATAGATACAAATTCTCCTTTTTTCAGTTTTTTCAAAGCTTTTGGTTTCATCTCAACTGAAAACCTTTTCTAATGGTATTGACAGTTCCAGTCAAATGAACACCCAAACTCAGTAATTCGAGTGCCAATTGTGGACTGGTGTAATACCTATCTGTGAAGACATGCGCCCCTCTTCCTCCTCCGGGAGAACTCAAATATTTCTTTACCAGGTGCACAACTATTCTGCTCGTGAATGGTAAGTCAGGCCTCGTCATATTCATACACGTGTGTGCTCCAAAATACGGCTCTAAGGAGTATACATATCCATTTTTGGCATCAGACAGAACAAAAACTTTGATACCCCACTTTGTGGGTTTGTCTTTATTGTAAGTTTTGAATGAAACTCTGTCTTTGAATCCTATAGTACTTTCGTCCACAGAGATTTGTTTGATAGGCGTGTAGTATCTTTGAAAATTTTCTCCTAAATTATTCATAATCTTCTTCAACTTTCGTAAATTACTTGAACGGGGCATTATCAGCGAATGTGCCTTTCTCTGGCACGTTAACATGTAGATTCCAAAATAATTGCAAAAATCGCTCTCTGCTGAAAACATCGCCGAAAAACGGCTGATGGTCCAGCCAATTTGTACTAAAATAATCTTGCAATTTTTATTTTTTCATTTAAAGCCATGTTCAGTAAAACACCCAAAAATGCTTTGAATTCTTCATTGGTGACGTGATACCGCGATGACCAAATACTGCGTTTGGTAAATGGCATGTTTTTCTTTACCTTTTCATCTCCGTATCAATTAGTTTCTTTCACAGTGCCTTCAATCAGGTCATTAGAAAAAAATAATTCAAAAAAATCTAGTGGAGTTTTAAGTTTATTACCTCTTGGTGGCTGATACCCAGGTTTTAAAAGAAATGGAATTTCATTAAACCCGGTGTCTTCTTCACGACAAGCAATCCACGTGTCATCACTCTGTGTAATATTGTTGCTGTCATCTTCCGCGTCTACATCAGAGCCCAGAAATTCTGAAGAATTTTCTTCCGCTTCACTACAAATATATTCTTCATCAGAATCAGTTATCATATCACCTTCACTAAGTTCTTGTAGAAGTTTGTGTATATCTACGTCTTCCAAACTATCCATTTTGTTGTCGCTACTTACCACTTGCACACTGTAGAAACACTCTCTAAAGTAGAACGACAAGAATGAGTGTGGAAAAACTTTTTTTCGATCAGATAGCGTTCGTAAGTATTTCAGTAGATCAACTATTTTCGATTTACGGAGCTGTCTCATTGTTAAATGATGGTCTTATCTCTAAATATGAACAAAAAGTAGCTGTCATCTCTGAGATGCCCTCCGATTGAATCAAGGAATTGACGCTGTCATCTGAGAGATGCCCTCCGACCTGTAGAACGAGCCACCGTCCTAAGGTCTCCGACCTAAGCGCCATTGACGCCATGTCATTATATAGATGCTTTTCGACATGTAGGACGTTTAGCTTATGAAAGCTTCCGACCGCAAAGGGCTAGAATCTACATCCCATATTATTCTGGAGTGCCTTGAAATAGCCCATATAAGATAGTTCTTGAAAAGACTCTTTATTTAATTCCTTCTCCTTCCCAGAAGAATATCTTACAACTTTTAAAAACCTCAAAAATTGATACCTTAATATAAAGACCCTCCTTTACCTACATCTCATCTAGAATAATCCTTCAAACATTTTATTAATATCAGAGGCTTGTGTAATCTAAATAAATATTTGTATCCATCTTAATGATGTAAGTATCCAAAATATTGATACTTTTTGACCATTTATTTGCGTGTATAAATTGTATGTAATAGTGTAATGGAATGATAGTAAATATGTGTATTATTGTGAAAATTCTAAATTGATACTCGTGGTCGCTTATGACCCAGGGGTTGAAAAGCGACTTTAAATAACTAAATTTAAAAAAATCTGGAGTCCCTTTTTGAGGTTGGGTCCCTAGGCAGCTGACTAGCTACATTCGTATACTCCGATTTTAATGGAGTGGCTTCTGACAAATCATCAGCCGTGATACGGATATCGAATCGGGATCTGCAATACCAAACATTTAAACCATAACGAAACTCCCGATTGGTTAAGAAGTCACTCTATTTAAATCGAAGTACGAGTATAATTTAGCTTAGCGGGTTTGTCCTTGATTGAAGTAGGATAAACATCTTAGTCTTTTTTTCTAGGGCTTTTATCCAGCGGTCAACTGGTTACCCTTTACGCTCCGATGGGACGCATATTCCACCGTACACTAGACACCAACACAAATGCGGGCTCCTCTGATCTGGGGTCCGAACGCGAGGGCCTCCGCGACAACATACATGAGAGACAAGGGGAAACAACCATGCCCAAGGCGGGACTCGAACCGAAGCCCTCCGTACCTGCTCGTGGCGACCTCCCCAATCCGGGGCGGTTTTATCCTATTTCATTTCCTTACATTGCTTTGAAATGAAGTTCTAAGGTAGAAATGCAGTTTGTAATAAGATTCGTTCACGCGCGCTGTAGATTATCAGAATGAGTCACTCGCGGCGTGGCCAACGCACTTTCCCGGGGAAAAGGGACGCTTCGCTTGCTACGTAGTACCAGCGTAGTACCAAGTCAGGCACGGATTCACGGGGATTCACGGATTCACGGGAGGGAAATTCCCCTCCCCTCCAAAAATGTTTTTTTTTCAGAAACGTGGTATACAGAAACACACACCACACAACCCTAGACGGCACTCGAACCCGCGATCTTGTCGTCCGAGACCGCTATGGCGATCTCGGTAATCGGATCGACGTTAAACGTATTATATTTTGTAAGTATGTTTTTCTATTATAATGCAAGATATATGGTATATAATGTATGATATTTGTTTAATGTCAAGTGTCCGAGAAAAATGCGAACCTGTTATTTCCACTGAATGTTTTCTGTTATTTTCAACGTTATTAGAGTAATTTCTGCGAATCTGTTGTTTTAATTATGATGTCTGTACCATTATCAAACAAGTTTCATTGTTGTTGTTTTTTGGACAACAACAATTTTCATTACAAATGTATAATAAACAATCAAATAAACTGCACAGATCTGCTGCCATTTTCAGAGTATGTGATTTAAAATGATAAAAATAAATTTTATATTTTAACTATAGCTCAGCAATCGGAAAAAATGTGAAAAAATTAACGTTTTGTGTTTTAAGAAGAACTTTGAGATTTTTTCAGCCAGTTTCAAGGTCCTAAGACAAAATTTTTTGCTATTAAAAACAACTTTTCATTTAAATTTGGCGCTAAGAAAATAACAAAACATATTTTTCTGATAGTATAAATTATTTTTCTATTTTTCGATATTTTTTCAATTAGATGGAATAGGGTTAAGTTGAGGAAAAAATTTTAAAAAAATGTTTCCGGCTGTAGTGGGAAGTGGGGGTCTGATGGGAGCTAAATAAATCTTTCAAAAATGTTATGTTTAGGTTATAATTATAGTGTAACTACTCATATGCAATTTGATTTAGGGGAACATTTTACCAACTTATGAAGGGGGCTCTTTGCACCCCAATAAAAGATACCAAATCCCGCCTCTGCTCTAGGTGCCAAGCCCAGGAAGATCGTGGGCCGCTGTGACATTTCGCGCAATTACTGTGTGCCCGAAACTAAAGAATAGGACATGGATCGCTTACGTGTGCCTGGAGACGTCGCGGTTAAGAAGTAGACCACTTAAGAAGAGAAAAAAAAATACCTAAAAAGAGTAAGAAAGAGAAAGAAAGCTGATGAGAAGAAAAATGTATAAGAGGCTTGACACATATTTTGTGAAATTCTGTCGACATTCTTCAGTTATGGACAGTAATGTTTGTATGTAAGCGAATGTTTAATTTGTAAATCGATATCATGCTTTTTTATTAAAAAAATATATCTGTTATCTGTATCATAGAATGAAATATGTAATTCCCCAATCATTCGTCGTATTGCAGGTCTGAATTCAATAAATTATAACTATTTTTTAATTTAAAACCATAAAGTATTCATTAAATTTGATATTTTAATTTTCTTAAAAGCATTTTATGATAAATAATTTACCTTATTTATGATATATATATATATATATATATAT